GAAGTAACGCTTTTTAAGTCAATTGTATCACTCCTGATGTTTGTTGGTCTAAAGGAAGACAGAAACCATTTGTGTATTTATGTTCTTCGAGACTCCGTAACTCTGACTTCAGCATACAAATAAAAGTGATGCTTAATCTCCAAAATAATTTTTTACATTTTTCGTACTTTGAATGTATATAGATATATATTTTCCATCTCTCTAACACTGATGGGCATTTTCCTGTTCCCAGTTCCCTTGGCTTTTTTGGAATCAGCATGGCAGTGACAGATGCTGTTGTTCACTGATTAACACTGAATGTTGCCATGCCCAAACACAAATGAATGTTCACTGTATGCTGCGACTTTCTTATAAAGCCATACTTTTGTAATGTTTAGGGGAAAAAATCTGCCCTATAATTGTGTTTGTACATTACTTGCTGCATGTAATGTGCTGGAATAAAGCATATATACATAGCCTGATAATTAGGTATATTAGCTGTGAAAATCATTTAATCTGACTGTATTACTATAATAAACTTGCAATATAAAATTGATGTGTCTTTCATTAGCCAGTTGGTCAAAACCACCCACCAGTATCTTTTGCTTTTGCTTTGGCTCATCTTGTTGTTTGATGATGATTTTTGACTGCTCAGCCATTACCTCGAAAAAATGTGATTTGAAGAAGATAATATTTTCCTTCACAGGGTTGCAGTATCTCGCTGTGCTGTCAGGAGACAACCCCAAGTGATGAGGTGAACTCATACTGATGAGTCAGAAGAAGGGGCTCAACAGGGGTGAATGGTAATTGGGTTTGGAGATTTCCAGTTTTAGGTTTGAGTTCAGCTCACGTAGCTGTTTCCAGTAAACATAACAGTGCTGGTAGCCTCCTCTCCTTGTCTGGTTTGTATTCCATCAATAAGATCCCTTCCTTTCTCAGGTTTTTCTCTGTACAGCAGGATGCCCCAGCAAGGCTTCCAGCACCAACTTCTCCTGTAGGCACAGCTGCTGCTGAAGGCCCTCAGGCAGACGTGCACCTCCCACCCTCTGTGCTCTCCGTGGGGTAATGATCCACCAGGTTCTGTGCACAAGCTCTGTCACAAACAGCTACCCAAAGCATTTCAGGTGATGAGTAGCTGGTTTGGATGATGATGATGATAATCACATGATTAGACCTCCACCACCAACTGTACCTACAGATCTCAGTGAGCCCTAGTACATACAAGCTATAACCCAGGGATAACTCCTCTGAGCCTGTGCTTGCATTGTAAGTTATTGGTTTCATGGAAGAATGCACAGAGGGGAATTGTTTCTCCGATATCACTTAAAGAAGATTAAGACTATCTCCTTGACTTCATAGTGGGAGACCTAGCCCTGACTATTTCACCACAAGAATGTGGTCCCCAAAGATATAAGTTTTCTGGCTTATTTGCTTCCACCTTTCCTGCATTTGAGAATGAGAATCTGACTGAATTTCTCTCATGCCCTGGCAGCTCTGCTGAGGCTGACAATCAGGGCATCAGCGAGCTGCTCTGGCAGCTGAGGGAGTCCCAGGCTGATGCATCCCTCAGAGCCAGTCTCATCTAGGTATCGGGTTTTTTACCCATGCACCAGCAGGCAGCAAGACAGGTATTTAAATAGAGTGAGAAATTTAAAGGGTATATTCCCTTGTGTGGGGGGAAGCACTGTCACAAGCAGATGACGCATTGATCGAAATCCTGCCCACGCCTCAGTTACTCGAGTGCATCTCCCCGAGTGAGTCACCCCAAATGGAGCTGATAGGCTTGGCATGTCCCGTACTATCCTGTGTCTGTCTGGCCAGCACAGCAGCAGTGCCTTCTGGGAGCATACACTGCGTTTTGCTGCACCAACTCACTCAGCTGATGATATGGATGACTGTGCACAGCCATCGGGGTCCAGCTCCCAAGGCACCTCTAGCACTTTGGAAGCCGCTCTGGAGCCAAGAAGCCAGATTTCTCTGGGGGTGACTTCTAAGGGATGCTTGATTTGGAAAATCAGTCATAATTTTCCAGTCCCAGTTCCGGCTCTAGTAAAGCGTTTCCATTTTGCTATGGATCTCCTGTGAAGGGGAATTTTATTGCTAGTGGGAAGGCTTTTGGCAAATTTCATGAGTACATACAGAGAGAAGATAGTTGTGCTCTGTACACCAGCTATGCCCACCCACGCAGATTCCCATGAAGAGCTGTGAGGGGGAGGAATGATTATCACAGAGTTGTCAGACTCGCACAAGAAAACCTGGGAGAAAGGAAGAAAAGGATTGGAACAAGCAGTATGGCAAGATGCCTTGTGGGAAGCAGATCCTACAGTTGAACAGAAATAGGGAAAATAGTCTGGAGAATCCCAAACGACAGTATAAGCTATGAGAAGCACAGCAACACAGAAACCACCCCCTGCCACTTTCTCCTAGACATCAGGATCATAGAGAATGTCAGGAACCAGTCTCAAAACTGAGGCAATATAATGCCCTCACTGTCCACATTCTGGAGATACTGTCACAAAGTCTTCAAGCTGGTGTAAGCAGGCACTGGCATAAGCAGTTCAGAGACACAGGTCCAGCCTGCTGCTGCCTCCCTGCTCCCTACTCCTGCCCTCGACCAAGCAAGCCCCAGCAAAGGTGGGCCATGGTGCTGTCACACCAGTGCCAGTGCCACCCAAGGGGAGAGGGGGTCTGGTAACAGGAATGAGCAACCAGGCAGGTGGTATTGCTCCTTTTTAAGGTTGCTTTTAACTTCAGCAGTAGAACACCTTGTTCTTTGATGCAGAATTAAACAGGGGAGATCTCCACTAATGCTGAACAAAGCCCCTCTCTATCATGCTGTACATTGTGTGCACATAAGAAATACCTTAACTGTCTCCTGAGTTAGAGCAGACTTGGTATGTTTAAAACAGTGAAGGCTTCTGAAATGGGTGATAAAGAGGCTGACAAGCATTAGAAAGGGAAATAATCATTAAAGATGACTGGAAATTGATGTTTCTATGCCACCAAAAATGACAATATTGCAAAATACGCTTCGGTTCTGATTTGGAATGAAAATTAAAAATATCAAAATTTATACGAACACAGTTTTACAAGGAAGAAAACTGACCCAGATCTATCATGTGTATGTGGCATCCAACATAATTAGGTCCAGATAGTGAAAGTAGTACTTACAGGGTCTCTATCAATGAGGTAATGCCTGTCTCTCTGGAGCAACTCCCAGCACTGGGCTGCGGAGATGGTGAAGAGCCTTGAGGGGGAGCCATACAAGGAATGGCTGAGGTCACTTGATCTGTTCAGCCTGGAGAATGGGAGAGTGAAAGGAGACCACATTGTGGTCTATAGCTTCTTCATGAGGGGAAACAGAGAGGTAGGCACTGATCTCTTTGGTGACCAGTGACATGAGGGAATGACACGAAGCTGTGTCAGGGGAGGTTTACGTCGGATATTAGAAAAAGGTTCTTCACCCAGAGGGTGGTTGGGCAATGGAACAGGTTCCCCAAGTCTGCCGGAGTTCAAGAAGCATTTGGACAATCCTCTCTGGCACATGGTGTGACTCTTGGGGATGTCTTGTGCAGGGCCATGAGCTGGATCCTTGTGGGTCCCTTCCAACTCAGAATATTCTTTTGTTCTGTGGTTCTGTAAAATACATTCTCTTGAGATCTCAAGGGAAATCCAGACAGTATTTTTTAAAAGTCGCTTCTGATTTTGAGGCTTTGACTGAAGCTGAAAATGAGCAACTACTACAGAACAAAAATCTCTGTTCTTCTGCCTGGAAGGTGTCAGGCAGTGACACTGTAAGCAGTCTCTTTTTCTGAGTTTACAGATCTTAGGGAGATGCTATTTTCAGCTGTGATACATATATTTTCAGACGCTAAACTTCTCACCGATAGAGTTGACTGTTTGATTAAATGGGTTTTTTTATGGGACTCCTTCTGTGGGTAGAACCGAGCTTTGGTGATAGCTACAGCCTTTGGCTCACTTCTCTACCAGTCAGCAGAGCCCGGCATGGCGACAGAGATAAAATTACATTCCATGCATAATTTGGAATTTAATGAAAGGAAAGCCAAAATAACAGGAAGAAAGAGCTCTGCCTAAATTAAGTTTCTGCTTAAAGGTGTGCTCCCTAAGCATTCAGAAATTCGCATGTTCACTTACACAGGCTCACTCAGATCTGGTGAGCTTCAGGAAGGCGTAAGGTATGGTAAGTTACCCAAATTTGGGATCAGAGAGGCTGAGGATATCTTTCCCACAAAATTACCCAGCTCTCCTTTTGTAGAATTAACAGATTCTAGAAGCAGATTGGTGCTTTGTGTTCTCTTGAAAACATGAACCAGGTTTCCAAAGGTCTCAATTCTACCCCAACGCACATCATCATCATCCCCTCAAGTAAAAAACCCATCAATTAAATAACAAAGTCCAAACACAGACTTGTCCATGGCCACTCTTATCCCCCTTTTGCAGATGTTTAGACCTGAGGAACCCCTTCCATCCTAGCCTGAGCTTTTGCCCCCGCTGCCTTGGAGGGGATGAACACCCAAATTTAAAGCTCTGAAATTACTGCACATGATATACAGCATGCAGCATGAACACGCATGCAGGCACCATGGCTGATGTGAAAGAAGACGTCCTGCGTGAGTCTTACTTATTTTTAGAGTAAAAAGACCCTGCCTCAGCCAGGCAGGACTCCATGACTAACATCCCTGGTGCCAGCCTGCCAGGTTTTTCCAAGCCTCCCTGCTGGACCTGTCAGTGCAACTGACAGGCAGGCAAGTCCTGGCTTTTAAGACCAGGTCAGACTTTAAATAGGCAACTGCAGCTTTAGTTTGTAGTAGTTACTGCTTCTATTGTCCGTGTGGATCTTTATCCCATCCTCAATAACATCTGGAAACTGCGGAACCTGGGAGAGCTGCTAATGAATATGCTCTCACCAGTTAAAAGAAAAAAAAAAAGGAATTTATTTTAAAATGAAAACCCCGTCTTTTAAGTTTTACATTTCAAATATTTTTAAGTGGTTTTTCTTCTTCTTTCATTCCTGCAGCGCTGCCTGAAAGGCCAGCCTTGCCTGGCTATTGTCTGCTTCCCTGCACGGCTCCCTGTGCTTTGGCAGTCAGTCCTCAAATCGCCACAGCTTTGAAGTGGATCCGCCTTCCAAAGAGAGACCTTTTCTTCCGCCTCCCCTCATCATCAGTCGCACATGAGCCCTGTGGGGCTTTTGAACTGGAATTCCACCGTTTATTAGAAGCGAAAATAAAGACTGCAACTCATAAAACGAAGGACACTCAGCTGGGCAAGGCAGGATGGGAATAAAAAGGGATTACCAACAGCCCGCCCTTCGCCCAGGCGTGCCCTGGCTTGTCGGCTGCCAGAGCTGCGGCACAGGGGGGAGCGAAAAACAGCTTCTCACACCTGTGCCGCTGCTACCGGCGATCATTTCCACGCACCGCCTTTGTCTTGTTTGGGGTTTGTTTTGATTTTTTTTTTTTTTTTTTACGGTTCTGTCCACACTTCCCAGAGCGAAGGTCAACCCCGCGGTTCCCCAGGGCCGGGCCGGGCCCGCGGTGCCGCCGCCGGCCGCGAGATGGCGCCGCCGCCCTTCGGCCGCCGTGAGGGCCCGGGGCTGGGGGGGCGTCGGGAAACGTGGAACGTGTGAAAATTCTCCTAAGAAAGGGTGTTCTCTGCAAACTTTCAAGCCTAATGAACAACAACAACAACAACAAAAAGATATTTAATGCTTGAAACAGAGAGCTGCTGGGAAGTAAGCTCTGAGTGATGTCCAGGTGTTAGAAAGACAAATTACTTGTCGGTGGAATTGCCTTGTTAAGGTTTAGGGCCTCGACGTGTTTCAGTGATCTCAAACCGAGGGGAGGTTGAGCCTGGGGAGAAGGGTGTACCACTGATAGCGGGCACAAAGAATGCAGAGTTTACAGGCCACCAGGACATTTGGCAGAACTTCCCAGGCAAGGAGGAAAACTAATAAAGACAAGTCAGCAACTGTGCTGAATCAGCTCCAACTGGGTAAAAGGTAATTCTGGCAGGGGGAGATCGCAACCACTGACTCATGGACCACCAACCCAAGAAAGCCACCAACCCAAAAGAAGAGGAAGACTGAGCATGCGGACTAATTAGCATGAGAAGTGAGAGAACCATTAACCAATAGAAGATAGAATACTGATTAATAAAAGAACTATGTAACGTGTAGCCAATGAACACTAGTGCCTTTGACTGCTAAAATGTATAAATAATAAAAAGTTTTAATAGTTGGTTTGCTTCATTTGTGGAATACCACTGAGCACTCAGGCTTGTGCAACTCTAAAATAATCAATGTCTCTCTCGAGTGTGTAATTATTGGCTTGTGGAACACTGGGTAAAAAACTTTTGTGACAACAAGGTGACCCTTGGGCTGTGAGGGGACCCAACCCCACCCTGGGGTGGTGAGGGAACCCACCACCACCAGCAGCTGCCCCTCGCCGTGTCTGGCTGGTGATGACAGCACGGCCTTTGGATGCAGTGTCCAAACCAAACCCAAATAAGCAAACCCAGCTGCAGGAAGGTGGAGCAGGTGCCTTTACTGTCAGCCACCAGAGGTTTGGGGTTCATTCAGTGACAGAAGGGCCTCACATGCCCTGGAAGTTGACCCTGGAGCTGAGCTCTAAACAAAGAGCTACAGAAAGAAGCAAGTAGTTTTGCACAGGGCTTGTAGGGTCACAGAGCAGAGATGAGTCTCAGCCCTGCGGAGCAGACAGACATTTCCCATCCTCTCTGCTGCCTCCAAGGGACAGGAGAAGCTGTGGTGGCTGAAGCTGCTTGGGAGTGGCTGAAAGGCTCCATATTTGTGTTTAGCAAAGTACGTAGAATCCAGGGATTTGATGCAGCCCTGCTGGTGCACTGCTCCTGCGCAGAAAACCTCATTAAATGGAGGAGTTGGCAGTGGTGGAGCTGCAAGTGCCACCATTTCCCCCTTTCCCAGGAGGAGGCTGGCTGTGGCAGGAGGCAGAGGAAGGCATTTCCACTGCGGCTGGGCAAGGAGCCTTTGTGTGCAGTTGTCATCTCCTGCAGAAAGCAGAGGATTGTTGAGAGGCTTGATACCTATCAGGAAACAAGGGAAGGTACTGCCAAAGCTGTGTTTCTGGCACATTTGATTAAATCTCACATAGCTCCCCAGACATTCCTAGCAGGCCCAATAGCCTGAAGTCTCAGCTAAAAAAAAATTCAATCTACCTTTCTGGAGTTATCTCCCTCTGATCTGGGGGTCTGTCCCTTTATTTTCACTCATCTCTGCCTGAAGGCTAATCAGCAGAGCTTGAAAACCAATAACAAATTGGTTAAAAATCAGCTTTATATGCAAAGCCTAAAATAAAACATCTGTATATATCCCAGAAGCCTTCACAACCTCCTGTTTTATTAGTATCTCTAAAATAACTTTTCTTTCCCGACTCTTAATTCCAGCCAGAAGCACTCGGATAATCCTCATAGGACTGTTATGTGTATTTCCAATTAAGCAATTTATAAGCACTGGCTGCGAAGAGCTTTTTGTTCTTAAGGAAATTATTTCTTCATTAAGAGTAAAACAAGTCTTTTTTTATCCCTGCTTTATATAAAAGCCCTTGTGCCCCCTTCACATATGGTTTAAGTACTGAACTATGTAGAAGGAGATTAATCATTTTGTATCCCAACAAGCAGGCAAGACACAGCAGCTGGGTCAGCCACACAGGGAATAGGCATTTCAGTGTTTGTTTTCAGAGAGAAGTAAAAGTCAGACAGACAGACACTTTCAAGCTACTTGCCTTTGCCAGAGGCAACCCACACAATCACGAGCCCTTCTGGAGTCTGAGTCATGAAGAACTGCCACGGACAAAAGGAAGATAGTCAAGAGGGAAAAAAAAATCCCATTCATGCCCAGCTAATGAGGAGAAGTTCCAAATTGCCTCTTGTTTTCCAGGCTGTGTACCTTAATTAGATGAATCACAGAACACTGAGGGTGGAAAACACAGGCCAGAGAGCTCATAAGAGTCCACTTCATTCTTTCACACTAGCAGCATTATCTACCTCCCTTCTAGGGAATAATGTCCCTCCGTTTTCTCGGACAGCAAAGTCTCCTGGCATGAGGCATGGACAAGCATGGAAAATGAAGAGCAGAATTGATGTATGATTGACTTGAGCTAGTAGCACAAGCATTCTATTCCTGTTCTTCTCCCCAGATCCAGCTATTTACGCTCTCTGTAAAGGCGCTTACCAGCCTGCCTTCTAGTCAAGGTCAGACCTATGGCCAAATAGCATGAGCAGCACTGAGCAGCAACGTGGGGGACCAACTTCAAAGTGAGGGCACACTTGCAAACATTAGGAATTGACTCATCAGAATACCTTCTGATGGGGTAACAGGAAGGCATTGTGAGCCTTGGGCGTTCCTGGGACTCTGGAAAGAAACTGCATATTAGTGACATAAGTAAACTGCCTTCCCTTCATCTTTCTCCAAGCCCGATTAGAAGGGGACAGCCTAACAATAAGATAGCTCCAGAATGTTTAAGATTTATATCTAGTATCTGCTTACAGTAACAAGTGTAGAGACATGGAGGAACTGACAATTAAATGCAATTAGTACAGTTAGAAAACAGCTAACCTATAGAAATGGGTAAGAGATCAATAATTGCAGCATGTAAGCCTATGCCAATGCTTAGCTTGCACAGGGTCGCTGGAAAATGTGTCATGTATTCCAGCAGAACCAGCAGCCCCATGTCTTTTTCCCAGGAATGGATGTGTAAAATGACTGATGAATGAAGCCAGAAGTGGTGAGTTCAACTGTACAGTTCAGCGTAAACATCATATAATTCAGTGAAGAAATGATGAGTTCAGAATGATCTTGAAAGCTTGAGGTTTCTTTCTCAGTCTCTGCATATGATGCCATGCTCAGTAAAACCGTTTATGATGTTCCTTTCTGTTACTAGGTGGGGTTCTTTTCAGAAGCACAAGGAAGAAATGCCTGGCTGGAGGCCCCTCAGCAAGTCTAGTGATACTGTGGTTTTTGATTATTCTGGTAATATGATGTTGCTCTCTGTCTTACAGGGAAATAGGTTTTGATGAGGTATTTGAAGGACAATGGGGTAATATGTGACATCGTGCATTGGCTCCTGGGGCAGACAGCTCTACTAGCAAATGGAGAGTTACTGATCTGCCAGGTCAAAAAAAAAAGTCACTTAGGGCAGCATAAGAGAAAGGAAGGGGATAGAGTGACAAACACGTCATACTTGGTGCTCAGAATCAGCACTGCTGTCAAAATGGAGGGGAGAACAGCAAAGTAAATGTCAGAAACAGATAATTAGGTTAATAAAGGGAAGCAGAAATATGCAGAAAGGACCACTGGTGTTTAAGCATAGCCTAATGTACAAAAGAGTATAGAGAGCAACCTGTTTGGCTACTCACATGAAGTAAAAGGGATATGGCAGCATCTTAGTTATAAAAACTAAGACAAGAGAACAAGAGGAGGCAGTCAAAGAGAAAGATCAGGATTTAATTTGCTTGGTGTTCAGTCAGCAAGAGATGTGGGGGTGGCAATATTGCCAAAGCAAAGCTGAGTTGAGGGAAATAGATTAGAAGTGGTGAGTCAGATGTGTGATCTCATGGTTGCACAGCTGATATCTGAAGCTGCAGGAAGTTTGAGGATCACAGGAACCTTCAAGGGGGCATTTCTTCCTGGGTTTTACAGCTCAGATCCCATCAAAACACACTGTTCAATGACACTTAGTCACCACAAACCTGCAAGAGCATGTCAGAGCCAGAGAAGTGAAAGGCACAGCAGTGGCCAGATATGGAACTGCAGGAATATTCCTTGGATAGGGGTAGGAGTTTGAGAAAAAATCCCTCCCAAATTTAGATCCTCACTGAAGACCTCACCCCTCAGGGAAATCTTTAGTGAGTAAAGGTTTAGGACATGTGTGTCAGTTGCTGTAAAGTCTCTTTTGTGGCCAATCCAGGCAGTACCAAACTGGATGATGCGTAACAACACAGAGACCATGGAGGCACAAGTCCTATTTCTGTCTGTGATTCCATGCATTAAAACAATTTTGTTTAAACAGCTTATCTTTGTCTGCTTTCAATGATACCATTGTAATCTCTTGTGGTATCCAAATGCATTTTTCTCCCCTCACTAGAGCTTTTGTGGAAAGGGAACCACTTTGTGATATCTCCTTGATTTTTACGTACCTGCCTTAGTGACTGTGATAGCAACATTCTCCTCTATTGCTCTGGAAACTAGCTTTACATGCACTGTTTCATCTACTCCTTAATTCTTCCACTGGGGCACTAAATCTGGACTAAGCTGAAATACTAGGACAATAATTCTTAATCCACTGTGGAACATTAACTGAGTGTTAAGACAGCGATTTGCTGTATATTATGAATGTGGCTCCATTTCGTTTCCTCTCTGGAGATGCTGATTCACTGATGGAGTGATGTTCTTCCAGGCAAGAAAAGATTAAATAGAGACAACAGACTCAGAAGTAATAAATAAGGCTGTAGAACAAAACTGCCTGATATTATATTATTTTAGAAGCTGTATATAATCGTGTCATCAGAGATGTGCTGCGGTGCACGCATGCAAGGGA